ATTTCAAAATGCTGCACCACAAATGCATGAATTCAGTGATCTGACAAGATTTGCACGAGGTTCAAACAGTCTGTGTCTTACTCATCATGTGACTTGTAACATAAATGATGCAGATAGCAATGAGATGGATTTTCAAAAAGTTTGTCAAACAACAGATTTCCTTTGAGGCAGAACTGCTTAACAGAAACAACAGACAGTCTGTCTTCACAAGGCATTACTGTGAGATGAGTAAGTTGTGTTCTCTAAATGTTTGTTAGAAACGTTTTCTTAATTAACTATAACTTTATACCTGTGTTTGTATGGATTTCCTCCTGGTGCTCTGGTTTCCTCCCACAGTCCATAGACAGATGGTATATTAACTGGCTTCTGTAGCATTGGCTCTGGTGAGGGTGTGAGTGTGTGTCTGTGTGCACCAGGATTTACCCCACCTTGTGCCCCTTGTTTGCGGAGTCAGACTCAGGCTCCCTTAACACCCTGTATTGGATGAAGTGGTTTGGAAAATGGATAGAAGAAGAGTAGAGCTGAAATATAAATACAGTCCAATAATTGCTTTATTTCAATTATAACATACAGGTTTAAAATTTTGAACACAGTAATTACTACAAAAAGCATGTATTAGGTGTACTACTGTATGTATTATATACAACATACAAGATATTAATAGACAATGTAATGTTATAATGTTTCTTTATTAGCCCTATACAATTTCTTGCATTAGGAATTCATCTTTTCGCATACCCCAGCTTTTCTCCATGGAGACACAGACAGGGAGAGAAGCTTGGGGTCAGAGCGCAAGGTCAGACATTGTACAGCACCCCTGGAGCAGTTAGGGTTAAGGGCCTTGCTCAGGGGCCCAACGGAGTAGGATTCCTCTGCCGGCCGCGGGATTTGAACCGGCAACCTTCCAGTCACAGGCACGGATCCTTAGCCACAGAGCCACCACTCCACCCATGTACAAGATAAACAGTATATTAGTGTGCAAGAAATGTAGGGTTGAGGCGTGAGTTTTGCAAAGGGCACTAGAGTATCCAAGAGGAAGGGAAAACCTCACTTTTTCATTCCAGTTGTTATTTTCCTTACTCAGGAAAAGGTGTCTTAAATGATCCTGCATTCACCTGTTTGAATAAAACTCAACAGGTAGCCTATGTGATGATTTCAATATTGACTGGAAACAAATATTTGGGTCAATTAAAAGTAATGTTTTCTTGCACTTATCATCGAGCTTTTTAAAAAATTCCAGTTCAGTTTTTGATTAATTCAATGGCAGCTGTGACATCTTTGGAGTTGGAAAATCAAATCCCTACGTATTCTCTTCTCATCAAGACCTAAGAGATAATGTTCTTTTAACCTGCCTTGGTATGGATCTACCATCTCACTGTGAGGACAAGATCTGACATTAACAGTAGGAGCAATCCCATGATTGTAAGGAGCTTGTGATGTTCTCAAACACAATATTTCTCTCTGATGATGCTTTATCTATGTTTGCTGTGAGTTTATATATGTTGAAAAATTAACATCAACAAGATCAACAGCAAACAGAAAATAAATGTCACTGACATACTGTATCATGGTGGCCTGTTGATTACTACTGTGTTACAGCTAATGTCACGGGTTCATATTCAGACAATAGTAGCCTTTTTGTAGGGACTGTGTTGCACAGTGGTCCCTCCAGTCTCCTCCAGCCTTCCCAAAGCCATTCACAATAAGTTTGAAGACCAGGTGGAAACTACCTTACAGTATATCTTTGTCAGAGGGCATCTTATAACAGGTCAAAAACTGTATATTGTCCCTGTTGAATAAATAAATTATACTGTATGCGTAAAGACTTTTGTGATCTTGAAAATGGTTAAGATTGATCTTATCTCTTATAGATTTATTGAATGCTTCGATTCCGCTATGTTGTGGAGAACAGTGTGTTTTCTGAAAGCTCTTGTGCAGGAGCACCGTGAGATGATGAGAAAAAGAACTGTTGAAATTAATTCAGATGAGGGTGGTTCTTTATTTTGAGAAGAAAATTAATCAGCAATAGGAAGGTGTATTACAGCTTGAAGTAAAATAATTTTTTTGTTGATTTTCTTTATATAGAAACATGTTGCTCTATGTGAGCAAACAGTTATATCTTTTATTATTGATGGAAAAAGTTGAAAAAGTCCCATGGCTGGAAGGCAGTTCCTTCATTATACAGCTGAAACAATGGCATGTTCATGCCTGCACTAATTATTATTCTGTGAATGTACTAATTTGTTACATCCAAACTGACAGTCAGTTTGGTCCCTGAAAAGGGCAATGTGCCAACCACTGCAGTCAAGTAAAAGGGGCTCTTTCATTCAGGGCAGTGGGACAGAAATTACCCTGCAGCATATGTGGGCAGGCAAGGGCACGACGCCAGCTTCATCAGCCCAGTACCAGGCTTTATCACACTGACTATTAAACTGAGTCAAGCCATGACTTCAGTAAATGTCAAGCTGGGGTGGCAGAATATCTGCCACTGTTGCTAGGTTTGTAAATGGCCAGAATCATGCTGATCATTCTTCTTATTTTGTTCTCACAGAAATTTAAATGAAGTAGCGAAACATTAGCTAAAAAAAAAAGTGTGAGGACTGTATTAATCAGCCAATTCACCTAATTTTAAACTCACATTAATAAATACTATTCACTTATTTTCTATTTGTTTCCCAAAGGTATTTTTTATACTGAGCTTGAAAATTTTACCAGCTCATAAACTGGTTCGTGAGGGCAGCAATAATTGCAACTATAACATAGCTATAATGTAGACCCATGTGGAGCACATCTGATTATATACAAATTGTGAGTTTAAGATTTAATTTACATCCTTTATATGTCCATATCACACAGTCAAAAGAAAATTTCAAATTGGTAGCTTCAGTTAATTGTACAGGTTTATATATTCATTACTTTGGAATTGCGTATATCTAAAGCAGGGTGATAGTCAAGAAACGTGTCTAACGATTCTGAGTAAAATCTGTTTCCCGTTGTCAGCAGCTTTTAAGATTTTAAGTGTTGTCAAAGGTAGATTATGAAAAATGTATAGCTTATTCTCATGATTAGTCCAGAAGCACTGTAAATATCTGCTTTTGTCTGTGTCAGCTGTAAGAATGGAGGAAGGCAACAGAACATCAACAGTTGTAATGATTATAGCGACACCACACTGAGACTTCAAATTTCCAGAAGCAACTTGAGAGTTTACAGCTGTAGACTCAACTTGCCATATTAAGCATGGTAAATCTTCAAAGGGTAAATCTGCATTCCAACAATTGTATTTTTATGCATATACTGTATATGATTAAATAGCCAGTATTTGTTGACTTCTATGGAACACACTAGAAAGCTACAATTTATTACAATATTCAGGCTATAAGAAAATCTGAAGGCAAAATTACGTTCAGATTTTAATGTCATAAGACTTGACTATCTGGGTTTGAACCTTCCTTTTGTTGCTCTCTTCTGTAAAAGACCTTAATGCAAAAGTAAAAATCAAAAAAGAGCTGATTACAAGTTATTTTCTGTTATGTCTTTTGTTATGGTAATGACATTGAAGCTTGAAAATGGGAATCTGCAAGGCATTAAAATGAGCATTATGAAAACTTCTGCCATGTCTAGAATAAGGGACAAGTCAGCGTGACACTTGCTTCGCACAGGCGATAAGTTTATTCATATCTGCAATTTCAAATCAGGAAAAGTTATGCAAAGTTGAAATGCATGTCTTGTTGGAATTGAGTTTGTGTGGATGTACAGGAGAGAATGCCAATGACTTCTGAATGCTATCTGCTGCCCAGTGTTGACAGAAGGGGAATTACATAGATGGGAAACATAATTGTCAATTTAGGGGAATGTAAATCTTTCATGTTCACATATTCCCCTTTGTGTAGACAAGATATTGTCCTAGGAGTTGACTTGACATCAACAGCAACACATTGTTAATGAACCCCGGAGCCGAAGTTGTCTCTTCTGCACTGATGATTGCTGGGTTCTGGCGGCCGGGACCCCTGAACCTGAAGGTGTAGAAGTTCCTGCTCTGGATCCTGGAAACATGTAGAAAGACTTCAACCAGAACACCTAAATCAGAGCTCTAATAACAAACGGGACTGTTGGAATCTACTGCACAAGCCCTTTCTGAAGAACCAATTGTACCTTATCTTCAGTCACCACTTTAAATTGGTTGTATTTCTTCAACTCTTATTGCTTCTTTTACTTAGTTCATTAGTGAAAAAAGTAGGAGCTGCTACCCTGTTGGTTGACATTATTACTGTTCTAGTATAAATACTGTATATATTCCATCTTCATATGGCCTTCTCAGCTCTGTGTAACAGGGACTTGGGTTCCTGAGATAAGGCACTGGCTGTTTAAATGTGGTTTTATCTGAAGCTGTAGCTGATATGACTGGTCCGTCTGACTCTGAAGACCAGAGAATAAAGTCGTGGGAAACCCAGGGCAAGGCCTTAGTTCTGTGGGTCCTGTGTCAATTAATTCCCTCATAATGCTAACAATAGAAGTCCCTAATTATAGATTGTCCAAGTAAATAACATTTGTACACATTCCAGAATGAATATTAGAAGTTATAGGATAAACACATGCAGTTGTCAGAGTTTTCAGACTCTTCTTTAAAGCATAGCTTAACTAGTCTGGATATTCCAGACAGTAATTTGCAGACATTCACTTGCCTTATGCTCTGCAAGTGTGAATTTCCCCAATATCTCTCAATGACCAGCAAAGATGAGTCTTTAAGTTCGGCTTGAAATTGTTTAAATGTTGTGCGTTTGAATATTGTGTATTTATTCCTGGTTCTTTATCACTTTAAGGAGTTCAAACCCTCTAGAGTTTAGAGCTGTGTTGGATGGAAAGCATTGCTAATAACAAATTGGAACTGTTTCTCATATTCTGTAATGGTTGTGTACACAATATCTAGGGTAATTATCACAGTTTGTCAGATTAATACACATATTACATTAATGTTAATCGCATTGTCTGGATTATTGCAGGTGGTAGTTGTATCTCCAAGGTCTATGAATGAAAACAAATCTGTGTGGAAAATCCATCTTCAACATATAGAACTTGGTAAGTGTGAATTTCATAGTTTAAAATATGATTTCTTTATGTCAATAATGGGAAATAATTATCTAAGCATCTTTCAAAAGCAGTTGCTTGTAATTTAAAGACAAAAATCAATTTCCTCTTCTGGATTCAAGCATACGTTTTTCATGTCTTTACCAGATTAAAGTGTTTCTCTGCCAGTAGAAACAGTGACTCAAGTAGTAGATTTTGTTGAAGCCATGGCTGGTGTGAAAGTGATCTTAAAGTATCATGTTTGAAACTAGACTTCAAGACATTTGTTGTTTGTCTGTGTCAGGGACAAACATTTCTTTAATGAGGACACAGAGCTGTCTCATCTGATTGCTGAAGCTTAGATAATAATCAGACTAGATCTGAATCACTGCTTTTGACCTATGACAGAGTTAGACCTTCATTAATGTGTACAAGGCTTGCCATATGAGAGGATGTCTGTGCTGCGCTCAGTGATGGACATTGTTTGCAGGAGATGAGAGCGCTATTTTGGCAGCAAGACGAAGGGAGCTGAAATCATCCTGCAGGCAGACTCATTATGACACAATCCTGCATTCATTTCAAGCCTCTATTAATAGTTTTAGAGTTTATGAGTAGTTTTGGGTCACTTGACCACATTATCTTTGGGTTAAATTGTTGTGTAGCACTAATCAAATGGCTGAAAAACTTGTTTTTGGTTGTTTTCCAACATTTAAATTTCTTGCACTGCTACACAATGAAGAAAATGTTCAGATATTTTGTGGTGTGATCAATGTGACCTTTTCTCCATCCATACATCCCCATATGTATTTTCTGGTCATTTAAAAATTTGATTATTAGTTATTCATGAAGGATGAAAGAGTAGACCATTATAATCCTGATAATGATAACAAAACCAAAATCATAAAATGTCACAGACTGGAAATTAGAAACCTTGAGATTCCTGAGACTGTGAAGAAAAGGAATACATAATAATACAGAAACAATCCTGGACATAAAAGGAATGTCCTACACTGACAGCCTGAATGAACAAACCTTTTTCAGTCCTGAAGAGAGAAGACTATGAGGGGACCTGATACAAGTATTCAAAATCCCGAAAGGCACCAACAAGATCACCTCAGTGGATTTCTTCAGAATGAAGAGTGAGACACGAACAAGAGCACACAAGTGGAAACCATGCAGAACTGAGAACAGGAGGCACTTCTTTACGCAAAGGGTGGTGGGAGTATGGAACAAGATACTCAGCCATGCTGTTGTTCTTTCAAGAGACAAGTAAATGAGGTCCTTGTGATCTATTATTTACTATCAAGAAAATGGAAACAATGGGCCAAATGGCCTCCTCTCATTTGTAACTGTTCTTATGTTCTTCTAATATTCATGAGTGAATTTTTGGGAGTTGTTTCCATGCGCCCTTGGCCTGTATTTTTACAGACTGTTACAGGGTACGTCTGTTTCTGAGGTTGTGAAAGTGAATTAGTTGGAACTTGCTTACAGAGCAGAAGTACATTCTTTTTTTTTTTGCTAGTGCAGATTGCTTAATGTAAATTAGGAAGTTCAATTTTGAAGATTGGCAGACACTTCAGGGGCTGTGCCAAGTGCATTTAACAATGAAGACGTCTGGCAGCTGGCATAATTGCCCCTCTTTTGCCAAAGCCAGATGACATGCTGGGAGGGCTGTTATTGCGAGGTCACACTCCAGGTAGGCAGTAGTCAGGTGCAGGCGGTGTGTGGTGAACCGCAGAGGAGAGCATTGCTGGTTCAGTAACATGTGGGAGGGCAGAGCCTAGAAATATGTGTGTTTAAAGAAAAGAAGAAGGAAAAAACACAGGAGGCTCAAAAGGGGGATGAGGTCAGTGGGGCTGAGAGCAAAGAAAAGGAATCAAGAGGCTGTGACAGCCGCATGTAGGCAACATTAGTCAGCCTGAAACACATTTTTCACTGCAAATTACCGCCAATGAATAGAGGCCTGATGTCATATTGAAAATGACACAGCTCTGATTCAGTTTTTATTGTTACCAAAAGTTCAGTTTATATGTGTCTCTGGTGGGTAGAATGTACAGTGCAATGTTTCTGAAGCCCATTGTGTGGTGTATTTATTACCTATCCCCCAGCTCCATGTTCACAACAGAAAGGATTTTATTCTTGTTATAACATTGAGTTTTCTCTGACTTTCTTGTAGTCAGACAGTTGTGTTGAGATTTAAAAAGGAAGATTTGCAAATATAAACAAAAAGATGTGAATGGTGACAGCACACCAATCCAACAGTTTCAAGAAACACTGAAGGTTTTAAAGAGTTTTAATGTAATAAAATGAAATTCAGTTTTTGCAACTTGCTGTGTTAAAACCGCTACGGTATGAAGAACTCACCCAGCAGAAGCTTGACTCACGGATACATTTGCTTTGGATTGGCTCCTGTGTTTCCCTCAGTGCCAAAACTGTAAAGGATTTTTTATGTGTAGGAATGAACACAGGTGTTGTTCATATCAAACATATATTGTGTCTTGTTTGAAAAAAATTGTTTGGGCATTATTGCATCACATAACTCCCAATTTTCTTTTCAAAGACATGGAGAACATATGCAGCTGCTCTACCTTCCTTCACCCCAGAGCAAAGACTGAACATATAAAGATCATAAATAAATCTGACTTTAACGGTGGAACAATGTACTGATCTGGGACTGATTGAAAATCGTGTGAACCAGCTGTTTGTTTGTTTCCCAGCCTATTAAGGCAAAAATATTTCTTTTTCTGTGTCACATAAGACTTTGATGTTGAAAAACTCATGTTATTTTTCTCTAGAGGCACACGGGGCTTTTCTCTCAACTATGCATCAGGAGATTAGAATGAACTTGTATCTCCATCACATCACCTGAAATCCCCAGCTTTTCCCCAGAGGAACCTTCTACATGGGTAGAGCCGACACAGTGAAAATACTGTTAAAATCCAGCTCAGTCTACCTCCCGCTGAGGGATACTAGAGTGAGGTATAACTTGTATTGGCATATATTTCTGTGAGAAGTCACTGTGCTCTAGCTGTGCACATAGTGATGGGTCCTGTGAGAAGTCGCTGTGCTCTAGCTGTGCACATAGTGATAGGTCCTGTCACTGATTCAGGAACCTGGGCTGCCAGAACAACCTGCCATTTGTAGCTGTGGTGCAAACAGTGCAAACCAACCATAATGGAAATTTAAGTAACCACAGAAGCCTGATAGCTTCTCAGTAGATTATTTTTTTAGATTATTTATGGTGCACTTTTAATGTTACTGGATATCCACAGGAAAATTCACTTATTGAATGATAGCATATTTTAACAGCAATTAGAAAAAAGAATTGCCATTTCCTCGAGGTTGATGATGCATGAGACAGAAAATTTGTAAAGCACAGCTGAACAGAAGTAACCTACCTACAATTATTTACACCTGTCCTAGTCAGAGCTGCTCTTGGAGTCAGTTGCAACATCATTTACTTTACAGTTGGAAAGACATTGTGCATCTAAATACTACTGCTACTAATAATAAACTTTATTTTATATTGCATCTTGTACAGCACTTTGTGAAGGTGATTTACAATAAAAGGTTTATAAAGATAAGAGATAACAAAAATCTCTTGAAGATGCCGGGGGCAGACACAGACACCAATCAAATAAAAGCCTTTTGAAGAAGAAGGTTTTGAGTCTCGATTTGAAGGCACTCAGGGAAGGTGACTCTCTGACATCCTTGGGGTTACAATTCCAGAACTTCGGGGCACAGTAAGAGAAGTCCCTGTCACCTCAAAGAGCTGGGGTGACAAATAGGAGACCACAGTAAGATTAACAAAGCTTGCAATGTGAAAAGTAGGAAGTTGATAAGTCAGATGAGCATGAGAATTGTGAAGTTGAAGTTAAACCAGATAGGAAGCCAGTAGGAGGGCTCCAGGACAGGAGTAATGTGGTGACTTGCATGTGACCTGGCCAGGATTGGCTGCTGAATTCTGGACATGTTGAAGTTTGTTCAGTGTGGATTTAGATCCCTTTAGCCAGTAGGCAGCAATCAGTTCTAGAAAAGACAAATTTGTTGTGCAGCTATTCTGCAGTAATATCTTGAACAGAGGTTCATAAAATAGTGATAGTTCATTTTTTAATCAACATTGAGTACTTTTTCTATTAGGTGTACTTGTGCCATTTTCCTTTTTGTGATACAGGGAAGCCTACAGGATCAGCAGCTCATCCTTGCTCTTTCATTTATTTCCCGTTGCCAGAGGAAGCCTCTGAGACGTCAGATCAAGGAATCAAAATTCTCAACAATTCTCTTTGTTTTCAAAGCATTTGTGTTCTGATGGCACCTATCATTCAGTGAAAAATTGAACTGGGCGTCATGCGCGTCTGTAGTGGAAAAACTAGATCACTTTTTTTCTTAAAGGACTGATTATTGTAACTCCCTACTTTCTCGAGTTTCTGAAACTATATTTAACATAATACAATAGGTTCAGACTTCAGCAGCTAGATTCCTGACTAGGCCATGTGCAAGTGAGAACATCACTTCTGTCTCAGAGTCCCTGCACTGGCTTCCTCTCGGCTTTTGAGTTATTCTGTTTCCCCAGTGTTAGTCTTCTTCTTTCTTCAGGTGACAGTACCTTTCTATTATCCCCCAAAGTCATGGAACTCCATCCCAAAATAACTAGTGGGGCCAAAAGTATTGAATGTTTTTAAATCTAGCTTGAAAATGTTTGTTTTTAGAGCAGTTTTTTTTAGATTATTTAATCTTCTGTATTTGCTGTTTTCTCATAGGCAGCTTTGTAATTTTTATTGTAATATGTATTTTTAAACCACTTAAAACCAGAAGATTGCTTTTAAACCTGATAATTACAGATTGTTGTCATCATCAATTACAATTATATAATTCTTCAAAACTGGATGCTGTCAATGCTGAAAACTGAGTAAAACCTGAGAATGACCATATCTATAATATTTATATTCCAGTTATATTTTAATGCACAAGTAAATGGAACTAGAAGCATAGTGTTGCGTGCCATGTTAGTG